GGGGGGGAGAGGATGGAACAGTCAGTGGCGTCACAGCAGCAAGACCAGACAACAGCGTGCTCCGGGGCCGCAAGTGAAAGGGCCATGACACCTTTCTGGGATTCATCTTCACTGTGGGAACTACCTCCCTGACCTCTGCAGGTGGGGACAGAAGCATCTGCAGATGCTGCTGGTGGGTCCCCTCAGCCACCATGTCCTGCCCACCCAACCGGAGACATGTGCCACTGCCCCAGTCCTGCTCTGGGGACAGGGCCACCTCCCACCAAGGTATCCCTCTTCCCAGGACAAGACACTGTCCTGGCCATGAGTCAGAAGGAACCACGTACCTCTAGGCAACACACAAGTATCAACTTCCTCTTAACTGAAACAACCTGAGGGGAGTTGTGGGAGCCCCACTCTGGACCACAGAAGGAAGCACAGTACAAGAACAGCCACCCAGAACCCAAATTCATCTCTAAACTGACAGACCGCTCCTCAGAACCCGAAGGTCCCCTGAATCTGCTCCCCCATCCAATCTTCTGCAACCCTGGGAACGTATCTAGCCACAGGTCGAACTCATTCCTTCCTCCTAGAGGAGCGTGCCCCTGCAGCTGAGCCTGCCTATATCTGCCTGCTGTGTGCAGGGAACCCTCCATGCAGGGGGACCACAGAAGCCCAAAGCACATCTCAGTAACACTACACTGCTCTTCTCAAGTCAGCTTTCCACATTTCAGGGAGGAGGAACCCTTCTTCTGCAGCTTTAGGGCAAAGGAAGGTTACGTTGTTCCGCAACATAATTCAATGAATAATTCACATACGTTCCTCCTCCCACCACCAGAAACATCCAATGTGCTACAGTGCAAATGCCAGGAATTTAAGGAAGTCTTTTAACTGCTCCTTTAACTCCTTTCCAGTTCAGCTCCAGACCCTTCCCTGCCAACAAGCAGCCTGAAAGCGGGGAGGCCAGCAACTGCTCCCTACCATCCATGTCCTCCTGTCCCAGGTAGGAGCACCAGCGGTTCCTCATGACCTCGATGGCATCCAGGTCCTCTCTGGAGATCTCGAAGTTGTTCATGAGGTGCATGCAGGGGATGATCAGCTCATTCAGGATGCCGATGCCCTCTACCACACGAGCTTCTTCACAGCTGACAAACAGCGAAGCCGCCACCTCGTTCAGCTTCTGGGGGAGGAGGGAGAGAGGGGAAGGCATGTAAAGAGCACACAGGGACCTGGGGTCGACAGTGTGCCCTCAGGACAGGCACCCAGCCTGGGGCCCATCACTCACAGCCACAAAGATGCACAGACTAACAAGACTGGGAGGCAGGCTTTGGATGAAGAGCCACCCTTAATCACAGGAATTCTAGAGAACAGGTTGGTAAATACATGTATTTATATATGTATATGAAATTTCCTACACATATGGACAGAGCTTATTTACAGCTCTGGGTTTATGATGCCAAGATCCAGATCTGCCTTTAACCAGATTCCCTGTCAGCCGTACAGGGTCTATTCACTGAATACTTCTTTTATGGAATTATTTTCCAGATTCCTGTACTGCTGCTGGTGCTCAGCCAGAGGCAGATGCTGCAGTAACAGGCACGACAGGGACAGTTACACTGGTCTTGGCAAACGCTGAGTGTGAACTAAAAACAAACCTCATTTTTAGGCTTTTTTTTTTTTTTTTTTGCCTGTGGAACAGGACATGACATTTTGCTCAGAGAACATCGTTAGTATTGGAAATAAATACTGGGGGGAAGGAAGTGAATCAACAGAAAATGAGGCAACCAGCGAGCTGACAACACGAGCACTGAGTTAAGACCCAAGGGTACGTTCAGCAGCAGCCAAACCTTCCCTGAGAGTGCAGCACGTTAACCAAGCATGCTCCTGAAAGGGGCCGCTGCAGGGTCTGACCCTGGCGGCGTCCCTTCCTGGCTCCCTGTGGAAACGAACAGCACCCCAGCCCCACCCAGCACCCCGACACCCACCCGAGCAGCCAGGAGCCCACGAGGGCTGTTCTCTCCCCTCCTCCCTGCGGACAAGCGCAGAGCTCCTCGATACACACCAGAAGACACTTCCTTCTGTACAAGGCGATCAGCGACTCGCTCACTCCTCGGCTGCTTCCCTTCAGCAGCAGCTTCGTGTTGCTTTGGTAGGCGTACACCAGGTAGGTG